CCCCAAAACCCCAAAACCCCAAAACCCCAAAACCCCTTGCAGAGGAAAAATAATTGAACAAGTATTTCTAAAATAGTTTTCAGCAGCTATTCTTCTCCTTTTGGAGATCGTCTTCAGTCACTCTATAGAATTCATCAAACCTAGTTTTAGTATCCCCATAGTCTTCTTCGATGTTTCCCAACACTTGATTTTGATCAATAACCTTTTGGATTTTATCTTTGTTTGTACCCACTATATTGAAGTCAAAATCCAAACATTAAGTCTGAAATTCTACTAGCATCACTTAGCCCCAAGAACATACTCAAGAAAATGGTTTAAAAACAGTACCTAAGCAGCTAACTTACTTATAAACACCAGATCGCTTTCATGGAAATTCAAAAGCTGGTTATCATTAGCGTCTCCTTCACTCTCTTCAACTATACCGAATCCTCTTTAAAAACTACCTAGTCTGAAATTAATATCGTCATCTTCTTCTTTCCTAAGCAATTACTTCTTTTACTTACTGCTGCTTCTGGTTCTTCAACAGCCTGTTCATGAAGTTGGTATTATCCTCATATTCATAGATATCGAACTAAAATTCCCAACTTGGCTTACTCTATCCTGGTCAATGATTACTTCATTCTTCTTCTGCTTGATTTCATCTTCAGAGTCTTCAGAATCCCGTGCCTTCTTGGCAGCTTTGGTTTTCTTAGGTTTCTTTAACTTCTGAGGGACTTTTTCTTCTTCCTTCTTTTTGGACTTGAGGAGGTTTTTGAGGTCCTGTTTGGTTCGTAGGCCCCATGTGTTTTGGATGAATTTTAGGTTTTGGTTGGTGGCTAGAGAGGGTAAAGGAGGTCGTACTTTCTTTTGGCTTGAAACTGTGGGCGGTTACAGTGGCAACGGACTGTGTCCTGATCTCATCAAAGGGATTGACTTCATTAAGCTCTTCCCTAAAAGGCGAGATTAGGCATCGATCTTACTCATCGTCATCGATTAAATTATTCCTCAACTCTTCCTGCATTTCTTTACTCTGCTGGTTGATCTAGGAGGGTTTAGAGGTAGCTTACACCAATACTTTCCACCTTAGTTAAAGTCAGAGTTTTAATCTCTTCTTCTGTCTTTGGCTGCTCCTTAATCAAGTTATTTAAGATTATTCAATGTTGTGCCATGGTCATCAATTGAGATTATAGCTATGGGTAAGAACCACTATTACTGCAGTAGTGCTGAAGTCTGAACAGAGATACTTCTTCTTCATAAGCCACTAATTTTGTCAAGTCTCTCTTTCCTTTCTGGTAATTCAAGATCCTTTTTCTGTAACTCTTGATCCAGCATTTGATATTTTCATTCAGGTTTGGAAGAAGTAATTGCATAAAAGTTTGTCAATATTTTTGTTCTGCAGTGTAGTACATAATAGCAAATGATTGATCACACAGTCTAGAATTTAAAGCCAGAAGTTTACATTTTAAGATCAGTTACCTTGATCTTATTTTAACTCAGATCCTGTTATTGTGTTGAATCTACTACTTGGTTTTGAATGTTTATTTGTGAGGCATGCCATCCTCATTATCAGATTGATATTCATCCTCCCTTTTCTCCTCGAATCTTGTTGGGTCATTAAAGTTGACCGAAATATTTACAAAATTGTTAATCTGTTTCTCAGCTATTCAATATGATACAGTTTCTTACTTATGTCGAGGAATGATTGGAGAAATTTAATCTTGCCATTAAACATCAGATTTACAATATATTGATAAACAAGCAAGGAAGTTTTATCGTCAGTCATGTTTTCACAGAAGAAAGCTCATGCCTTATTTAAGTGTTCAATATAGTCTTTCATCCTGATCGAGCCAGAATTCTTCTTGATCATCTTTCTCTCCTAAAGAATAGAATAAGCTTGTATCATAGACGAATAGAAAAAGAGGAAATATATAAAATAGAGAATTAGAAAAAATCTGATGTACAAACTTACCGTATTCTTTAGTACTTTATAAATAGACTTGTTCACTTTTTCAGGTTCGAAATCTTCCATCACAGATGCTATTCTGCATATTTTCTCTTCTTTAATGAACTGTATTATTTTAGGGTCTTTAGCTTTCTTATTTCCTTCTTTGGATTTGCTTTCACTAACTCTTGAGAGAACAATATAATTGAATAACTCATAGCACAACCATTTTCCAAAACTGAGTTTTCCTATAACATTAGTATAATGACTTGCCTGTATAAGTTTGTTCAAGAAAACTCTCTCTTGCTTCTTCAATATTTGATAATTTCTGAGTATTCATTCTATTTTCTTAAAGAGTAGATCTACCTTGCTTTAACTTTTTCCTGGCATTTCTCAAGCTGCTCGAAATTGAATCAGCTCAGATGTTTGTTCCTGAAGTCAATGATCACGTTCTCGACCATTACATAGGTGATTTGTTTATGGTACATTCTTGATGTATCAAATCCATGTTTATTTAAAGATACCAAGAATGCTATCAGGATCAGTATCGTATGGATCACCTAAAATTTTATTGTACTCATAAATATAAGTATCAATATCCTTGAATCTCTGTGCCAAATGGAATATGAATAAGAAAGGCATGCATCTGTCAATCGAAATATAGTCATATCTAGAATTAAGCTGCTCTCTTACTTAACATCTGTGAGTATGTCATACAGCTTATTTATAGACTACAGTAATATTATTAAAAACTTGGGCATATTTCGCTTATAAATCTTTAATGATTCTTCGAAAACAAGGAATAATTCAAATTTGAAACTGAATTTTCATTAAAAAGCAGAATGATTCATTCTTAACTCAGAATGATTTTGTGTAACTTCGAATGATCTCCCCTAAAAACCAATCTGCCAATTAACTGGAATTCATTCCTTAAAAGAATTCTAGTGAACTGAAGGCTGTCTATTTTAGGAATAAATCACTATGATTTTTTATGAAACTCCGCTTTAAAATTTAATTATTCCTTGTTCTCTAAAAATTATTACTGTTTACAAAAATATGTTCAATTATTTCACGAATATCACTGTAGCTTTTCAAAGTGCCAAGGTTCTGACTTACTAGCAGTAGCTTTATTTTCCTTAGAGGCCTTTACTCCTGAGATGTTGATAAGTGATTGTATTCCATCAGGACCAATAAGATCTTCAGCACAAAAATAATCACATAGATCGAAAAACTCATCAAAGTCAAATTGGAAGTCCAAGTTAACGTCAAATATCTTGGAAAATTCTAGAAATAGTTGCATCAACTCAAGGTCTGTGAAATTTAAACCAAGCAAAACAAATTTTTGGATTGCTTTGTGATTATTTTTGATTACTATATAAATGCTTTTCAAATCTCTCATTAATGATCTGATCTATATCACGAGTTAATCAAAGATAAACATTAATTCTAATTAGCACTAAATTCTACAAATATCTCTGAATAGTTGTATTAAAGCAAACTGTGACAACTTCTTTTAAAGCGAGGGAGTTTGTCTTAAGAAGTGTAAATTAATAAAAAGTTTTAAGCTGATATAAACCTAAATTTAGAATGTCTTAGTGATCCCTCGTTTGTAATCCTTTAACTTGGTTTTTCTTCTGATATGTATTGTTCCTTACCAATATTATCTTTATCACCCTAATACTTTAGGAAGTTCGAACTTACCTCATTTAAAGTTTGTAAAACAGAGAAGACATTATTGCCAGAACTTGGCTTTTGTGATTTAATCTCACTGACTTTCTTGAGGGAAGAGAGATAACCATTTTGGAGTCTTAGCTAAAAATTAGATGAGCATTGTACATAATTTACTTAAGCCTAAGAGTTTTAAATGGTAGACAGTTATATAAGTCTCGGAGGGTAAAATAAACCTTGGATTTCTTCTTAAATTTGAGATAGTTCACTTAAACCTCAGATTTGTTTCAGAAAAGCAAACCAGTTATTTATCTGATTATGTACCTCTTCTTCTCTTTCCTGGTTCTCTTTATCTTCTTCACTCTCTTCATCTGACTCCTGTTTCTTGTTTTTAGCGATAGCTTGCTGAATATGTTTATCTTTTTCATTCATGGTCAATCTGTTAGTAACGAGTTCTGTATTCTTAGCAATGAAGCCTCCTATTTCATTAAATTTTTCACCGAAGTATAAGGAGATTAATATGGTAATGTAAGCAATAAGGATTCTAAAGAGCTAATTTATAGATTCAAGAGTTTATGTTTTATTACAGGAATTATTGAAATGATACAGGAAATTTAAATTTTATCGAGCAAAATAGTTTAATTAGAGATCTACTCCAATTACCTTGATAAATTTTTCCCATTAGTGCTCTATATCCTCTCTTTCTCTTGTTCAATTTCGGTAATGGTAAGAACTCATTTATGGCATAAACCACTTTAAAAAATATCAAAAATTCCAAATATTGGTTGAATGCGTAATCAAACTGTCCTTGAGAACTCTTAATGTAGCTCCTGATCCTTTTTTCAGTGCTGTTGTAGAAATAGTCAACATTGTGAATAGCATAGGTTTTCTTGAGAAAGAAATGAAAGCAATTTAAATATTTTTCTGGTTCGAAAAATTTCATCATCAATTTGTTATAAGCTGCTGCTTTTAAATCTGAATCTAGCTTTATCTTCTTGATCTTCTTCCTTAGCATGAACTTAATCTGATCTGCTCCAACATGCTTGTATTGATCTGAGTAAGTTTTAAGCTGATTATGATATTCTTCCAAAGTCTTTGGACCTGCTATATCATTGTTTAACTTTTTCCTTCGCACCAAAATTACATCAAAATATAAAAAGAAATAGGAAGTGAATATTGTTGAATCTTTACGAGGCAAAAATTTTAGACCTGGAAGCCATTGATCTTACCTTTGCTACCACTGACGCTATCATAGCTTTCAAAATCTACAGAGTCGCTCGAAGATTCTTCATCTTCTGAGTCTAAAATGCCTGGCCCAAATTTAACTGTTTTCTTCTTAATGGTAGCTTTTCTCCCCTTATTTAGAACTCTTTGATTTGTCCTTCTTTGAAGACTTCTTCTTTCTTGATGATTTGGAATCTTCTGGTTCTAATATGATTAGTAGGAACAAATAAATTTTAATGATTATGTAAATTGCTAAAGCTACAGCAAGAAGTATTCCAGACATGAGAAGCCCCAGAGATCTTAAGAAGGAGGGAATTGATACGAACTTAACGTAAAATTTATGAGATGGATCACAATGGATACTATAGTCTCACCCAGATTTTTATTCACTGGGTTAAGTTGAGAGTTCTAAAAAGCATATACTTACTTAGAAAAGCATCTTGATTTTTGTTTTTACTCAATTCAGATAACTGTTTTGAACTCTCCATGCTTTTCTTGACTGTTTCTATATTCATGATTTAAAAGGCTCATAGTCTACATTTGAAAAGGAAATCATGGCTTAATATTTTGAATAAAATGGTAAAGATTAAGATATTGACCAAACTGTAATCTGGTGTTTAAAAGGAACAGAAATTTTGATATCAAAAATATATTCATTTTAAATATTCCTACTCTCGCTTTGTCTCAGGTCTAAACTCTTTGTTTTTGTTAAGGCTCTTTCTGATTTGTGGTCATCGCTTTTTGCCTCTGAAGGCTCTTCCATTATTTGTTCAAGCGAGCCTTCCAGCTCTTTTAAAAGACCTTTTGATTTGTCTGGCATATCTACAGACTGTCTCCTTGCTTTGAGTTGAAGATCCATATTGTTAATATTTAACTTGAATAATTACTAAATTTAATATTGTTTTGGGGTTTTGGGGTTTTGGGGTTTTGGGGTTTTGGGG